AGGTTTCCGATATGCGTCCCCCCCAATGACAGACTTGTTCCTACGCCCTTGTACACGAGTAAGTATACGTATAGTTTCTGAAATATACCATGAATAAATTAACAATATATATTTGACTAATTAATAATGATTGCCTAACAGGTAATGAATCTACGAAATAAGCTGCTGGTTAAAATTCAGATCTGGCTTGTGTCTGGCTAAAATTCCACACAAAAAAAAAACTTGTCGAAAGATTTTTCATTGTCTGAATAAATTAAACTTAGCTTATAATCATGATTTCCAGGAAGTAGGTTTGGGACAAATACAACTAAGCACAACTTTAGAAAAATTACTAGTGAAATTCAAATTCCAAAATACTTAATTTATCCCAAAGGGAAATTAAATGTTGTAACTCATTAATTCAAAATTAATGAAATTGTACAGTTGATGTTTTGGCTTACCGGTGGTGGTGTGATTCAGGAAAGAGTAGATGAAATATCTGTAGATGTTGTGACTGTACATCATGTCAGCATCCATTTGCCTCATGCTCTCACCCAGTGCTGCCACCCTGCATGTTGAAAGCAGAAAGAGGACGGTGACTAAACCTGGAATGCATTTTTTATTTATTTATTTTTTTTTAAAATCACGAAATGTGTGAACTCACAGGGTTTGGTAAACGGGGCAGGAGAAGTTTTTGGTGCTCAGGCAAGAGAGGAGGTCTGGATTGACGTCTGGCAGCAGGGGGAGCAGTTTGATCTGGTACCAGAGTTTGATGAATTCGGGATCATTCAGGTGATGTTGGGTCAGAGTTGGAGGCTCGTTCTCGTTGAATATCTCCTTAATGTCAGATGCCAGCTCCGCAAAGTTCTACAGGACACAAAAAAGCACTGACATGAGTTTTTGTTGGAGCAGTGACAACAGAGAATAATTAACAGGGAGTGACTGAGTTCACACTGAAGTCTCTTATGTTTAGAAAGTCAGAGAGGTTAATATGCTCACTGTTGTGGCAAACTCTTTGATCAGAGAGTTCAGACGTTCAGCCAGCTCAGTAATCAGTCTCATGATGGTTGCTTCAGTCATCGTCAGCTCACTTTTAGCAGCGCAGTGCATAATATGGGCTATACTCTCCACTACATCGGTCAGCTGAGGGCATCACAAACAATAAATGGGACAGAAGGTAAAGCAGGATTCTTTTATAGAGCTAAAATATCGAATACAAGTCAGAACCTCACCCCACAAGGGCTCTTATCAAGAGTGACGCTGCAGACATCCTGAAGTTCATCATATTCACTTTCCCCGCCATGTTCCAGAAAACTGCATAAAAACAGAATAGCACAACTTCAGACAAAGATGAACAATGAAATGATGTTTTTTCATCTCTAAAATGGCCAGAGGATGTGGGTGAGCAATTAAAGCTGCGCTAGGGCCTCAATTACACACTCAAACAAAGTGGCGGAAGGTTTTTCCATCTAAAGTTACACGGTCAATTCGTTTTGCTTTCTTAAGTTAAAAAAATAAAATAAAATAAAATGTACGTTTCTTACATCACTTTTGAAAGGTATATTTAGAAAATCTGATTAAAACACCACAGAAAACGACTAAACAAATATTTCACTATCTCTAACATTATTTATGTAATAAAATAAATACATTCCATTTAGCTTGTGATAAATGTATACTTTAAATTTTTGAAATTTTATTTATTTACTTAGTATTGTTTGTTTGATTTCATTTAATTTTGTTTGCAGGCTTTCATAATTAAACTGTTCAGCCACAGTAGTTGAGGCTGATTAGATGAATTTCATAGTAAATGTGTTAACAAAAAATAAATGAATAAAAAAATCACAAAAGTAGCAATGATACCAGGCTTCTACACAATTCACATTTTGACAAAAAAAATCTGAGACCAGGTGAAAGCCGTAGATTCCCAGGAGGTAAAAAGAAAATGTTAATGTATGTACACATTCTGATTTTCAAAAAAATAATTTTAAAAATGAGTACAAGTAGAGGAAACTTGAGTTTCAAAACTCAATTTTTCACCACATAAAACTTTTGAACCCAAGTAGTGTAAGTAGCTATAAATGCATGTTTACCCACCAAGTAGGTATATATTACCTACTTACAGTTAATATTGAATACATGTTAGAACAGTGGAAAGTACTTCCAGTGACAATATCTACTGTTTACTGTATGAATATTCACCTCAGCAGATAAAATATAATTAAAACAATGAAAACTGTTGATAAACAAAACGTTTTACCATACATTTATGGCTTAAACATGTTTGTACTTCATTAAGTGTCATAACTGAATGAAGGCTGGTGTATTATCCAGAAATTATACTCAGCTCTTTAAAGTTGCTTTTCTTTAAAATAATATGACTGAAGCAGAAATATATGGTTGTTGTTGTAGTTGATTATTATTATTATTTTTTTATTTTTTTTTTTCAAAAAGCAACTCAAGTAAATGTAATTACTTACTATCGACATCTGGACTACATTACTGTCAATTAAAAGATAAAATCCAAAATACAAACCAAGTCAATTTTGACGAAAGCTAAATGGACCAACAGACTAAAAGAGAAAAATCTTTGTAAAACAAAGAGCTCTTTGAGAGGGAAGTATGTGAACATAAAGTCAAATAAGCGAGTAATTAGATTAAACTTAGTCTGACTCACTACAGCTCATGAAAAGCGAGCGTGATGTTTTGGTGCATCAGGTCTCCGTCGTTTGGCAGGATCCTGCGTAGCAGTGGCAGCACCACCTGCTGGTACCAGTCCCCCACGTTGGTCACGTCAAACTGGGGGATGTCTGGGACCATGGGCGGTTCATACACGTCTGCCAGCTCAGCCAGAGTCCAGTTGAGCAGGAACTGAGCCAAAGTGGTGCTTTTTATTTCTGAAACATCTCTCTGTAAGACACACACGAGGCCACGGAGATGGGGGTGTGGGGGATTTAACTTCCTGTTGTCACAATGAAATGGTTAGCTTAAACGTCTCAGGATATGCTTGCGAGAGTTTATTTACCTGACGTGTAAAAGAAACAAATTCATGAGCAAAACTCCCAATTGGTCTGAAAGCCGTCATGAATCCATTTGTGATCTGTAATGTAAAAAACAAACGTTGGGAATTAAAGTCCTGTAGGAAGTTTTGTGATTTTTTTTTTTTTTAGACAGGGTTAATCCTTCTTTGAGTTTTTTCATTTCTACTTTACGGGTATGTGGTTGAACACATTACTCATGTACACCTGAGGAATCATGGTATTAAGAAATATTGTCATACCCATGTTTTTAGAGGAGTCGACAATGAAACCATTTACATCCATACTTTTGTTTTATGGCTCCAAACCAGAGGCAGTCCTACCCACTTTAGTGCCCTGGGTGAACAAGCACTGCACCCCCTTTAAATCATCATCTGACAACACACTCAGTTTTTTTTTCCCATTTGAAAAATATGGAACCAACTAGAATATTACTATAAACACCCATAGCAAGTCTCAAACAGACTGTATACCATGAAGTTAGAAGTATACAATACAAAAACAATACTATTGAAAATACATAAAAATAAAATAAGGCATTTCTAAATTGAAACAATAGTCAAATATTTTCAAAATTATGTGTACTATTGCAGCTCCAGGAGCTCATGCTGCCCTAGATGAGATGCCGCCCTGGGCAGCTGCCCACAACCCCATATCAGAAACCGATACTGCTTCAAACTGAGAGACTGTGAAAAAAAACAACAACAAGAAAACCTCTCCATTTTGAACAGATGCCAATCAAACTAACAAACAGGAGTTTAAACTGGTTGAATCTAACATAAGATAATTAATGTTTATACCACAAGGAAACAAAAAGCCATTAACTGAATATTTAAAAGTACCATGACATGCAGATCAATTTTTTTTAATAAACATTGTGATTTTATCCTCTACAGAATAAAAACCCAAATTAAAAGTTGGAGATATTCAAGAGTGGGACTATGTGACAGGAATAAAAGATAAATTTATTACAAGGTATTTTTCTGCATTTGTGTGCCTTTGAGTGTGGAGGCTACAGGTCTAACAGCCTGCTCGGTCTTGCCGCCGTTAGCGTGTGGTTTGTTGCAGGAAGAGCTTTTATGATGATATATTTTAGACAAAACAAACATGTTTCATTATTCATAGAAACAATTTGCCCCTGTGTTCCCACGCTTTCTGCTCTGTCTGCAAATGAAACATAAACAAAAACATGTCTCCTCTAGAACACACGTGTCAAAGTCAAGGCCCGCGGGCCAAATCCGACCCTCCACAGCTATTCCTGTGAAACAGAACTTCAACTAAATACAAAGAGGTGCATTTACCTCTTTGAGAGTGCTGTGTGGAGATGAATGACCAAATGGCACCACAGACGAGTTTGCAGGGCTGGGAGTTGTTTGCTGGCCGGACAGCAGGCTGTTGAAGACCAGGGTCAGGGTGCCGTTGTCTAAACCAGCCACCTCAGGCTTTAAGAGCAGCTCGGCCTTTTGTGCAGGAGAGAGCAGGTGGAGAACCTCCAGCTGTGACCAAAAACAGAGGGAGTGGTGTGACGGGACAAACAAAAACTCATATATCCCACAAGTGCTCAAACTCATATATGATAATGTTAAATGTTATGTAAAGTGAGACGGCCGTTTGAGTCATTTATAGGAGGTGAGTCTGACTCACCCCACTGAAGACCATGTTGAGGCTGGTGAAGTCCTTCATTCGGGCCATCGCTCTGAAGGCGCCAAAATTCTTCATCAGCCATTCTTCGCTGCTTTCATTTCCGTTTACACAACCTGCGCATAAAGTAAATATAAATACACATCAAGAAATAGGAGCAGATTTATGAAATTGGGGCAGGAAGTTTGAATAAGGACAGAAAAATTACATTAATGGCATCTTGGATCCCTTGGACCCCGATTTATTTTTTATTTTTGAAATTTATGAGTAAATTTTGAATAACTTGGCAACAAAAAGCAGTACATGACTATGAAGAGGCAGAGTGTTTATTTACAAAAAGAAACCCATCTAGTGTGTCATGCATTTCTATTCAACTCCTTGCAAACCTTAAAAAGAAAGAAAATGTAAAAAAAAAAAAGAAACAGTATAATCAATTAGCTTAAGATGTAATTACAAAGGCATTTGAGTGGCATTGCAGATAGAAAAAAAGGAGTACATTTTTGCCAAACGCCTAAACATTTTTGAGATTGTGAGAAATAATGTAGAAAAGACTTAGAAAATTTTCAACTTTTGAAACTCAATAATTTCTTCTCTAGAAGATTTCTGATATTAATCTCAACATTTTTGAGTTCTTTGGCAGCAGTGGAATCTCTTTTCTTTCTGTCTACAATGGTTCTAATATGCCATCTTACGTGACCTAATCTGGATTCCATTTGTGTTTAATCTAATCTCAAGATAACGCAGCTGTTCTGCGAAGGCTTCAGAGGTTAGCTAGAAAACATCAGGGATCAAACATGATGAAGACCAAGAAAGAGCAAACAGAACTGAACTTCAGCCACCCAAAGACAATAGTCTCTAGAAATGTAAAGTTATTTGAGTCATAACGCAAAATATTTTTCTTTTCATTATTATTTGTGTTGTGTGTTTTGTTTGTTCTGCTAATGCAGCGTTCTCTGTTTTTCTTGTAACTTTAGACATTATTTTGACTTTAATTGGGCTTTCCCACAAGTCATTTTGACAACTTTTTGCCTTTTTCTGTTTATATGCATATTTTTCTTATGTTGCTTTTATTTTCTCTAGCAACATTTACCTGCAACTCTTTCTCCAGACAGGAAGGGGTACATGAAAAACGTGTAGATCCACTTTTGTCTGACTGGATTCATCTCTGAAAAATATTGGCTGAGTTCTCTCACTCTGAAAGGCAAGACAGAAATATCAAAAGACATTTCCAAACAGCTACTATCACAACTAAAAATAAAGTTGAGAATTAAAAAAAATAAAGACGTACACAGTCTGATAAGTGGAGCAGCTGAAGTTCTTTGTGCTGAGGCAGGACAGGAAGTGTTTGGTGATGGAACCCAGCAGAGGTTTGATTTTGACCTCAAGCCACATCTGAACCAGAGCTTCATTCTGGAGCGGATCTGCTCCGGGGTTGAAATTCAAAGCTCCTTCCAGGCTCAGGACCGGCACACCGGTCATACTGGATTTCTGTAACAATGGTTAAAATGGATTAAAGTTTAAAGGCTTCTGAAAAGGTTCCAGGTAAGATGTTGTAAGTCTGTTTCCTAGAAGAGTGTCTGAAAGCACAAGTGTCATGAACTTGTGGGAAAAAAAAGAAGCAGAAAACAACAGTAACAACTGGTTTGGTCAGTCTGGAATATGCACGGCATTTTTTGTTGTTGCGTGCCAGTAGAAGTCATACCATGAAGGTGTACACGTCCATTGTGGCCTCAAGCATCACTTTCAGCCTCTGCATGTGGTCTTTTCCTGTGTCTGTGGACGGCAAGCCGACACACTGCAGGAAGCGGGAGGTCGTGTCCAGCTCCTTGGGATATTTAACAGAAAGGACAATTTGGTTACAACATTAAACAGCTTTATGCCATGCCTTGCAAAATCTATTGAATTCTGACATGTTTGTGTCACATTACAACAACAAATGACCCATGCCATTTGTTTGCTGGTATCAGAAAACAAAGTATGTGAAAATGAAGGACGAGTCAATGTTTTTTTTTTGTTTTTTTGTTTTTTTAAAAGACCCTCTACAAATCAAAATTTAAATGGTTTTGGTTTGTAAAACCATTTACAAATTGCAATTAGGTGTTTGCCAATTCCTGCTGGCTAGTCTGAAGGAACTGAGTGGGGAATATGTTGGGGAGTCAGGTGGAAGCTCTGATGCTTGTAAACTGCAGCTCAGAGGAGGAGCTTCGTTCTTGAAGGCGGAGCTAGGTCCACCTAGGTGTTTTGTACAGCTGAATGGTTGCCATGGGAGACTAAAGGATTTCTCAAACATGTATGAAAGAATCAAAGCAGCAGTCCAGGTATGTTTTTGATGAAGGAATAACATTATAATATGACCTAAAGCTCAAAATCATTGAATTTCCATAATGCTGCCCCTTTAAATATCATAATGACAAAACAGCATTGGATTGGGTTATAAAGAAAAATCTCAAGTTTCTCAAGAAATATGCTGTGCAATTCACCATAGCACAACTATAATCCTATCCACACTCGTCCATCAACATAATACCAGGAAGGATGAGGCAGCAAAAGACTTGATGGCAGGAAAACAACCTTAAACACATAAAAACAGCTACAGTGCAATAAATGGTTAGCTTAAAGCGCATCCCTGCACTACAATGGCTACCATGGCTAGTCCAAATGTAAATCTATGGAAAGACTTCAAAATTAATCATCATCATAATTCTCCTCCAGTTCAATTAAGTCTAAATTTCAAAAGAAAAATTATTTGGATGTTCAATCCCTACGTGTTTTGTTGATGTCCAGGAGGCGTACAACCATGACCCCGTTAACAAACAAGCTTGTTTCGCTCTATCCAATTTCTGAACAACCAAAACAAGAACTGTGTCTGCATTCTTGGTCCAAAGGACTGCCCATCATCACTGATCTGCTAGTAAGATTAGCCTTAGAAAAAACGGTGTCTGGCTTTGGAACCTAAAATTGTTTCACATTTGTTTCTACGTGGATGATTCAGTTCTGTTGACATCTTAAAGCTGTGGCCATTACCAAACCCTGAGGCCATTTGCCATTACACTCAGCTCATATTTGAGTCAACTTCTTGAAATCTAAGGCAACAGTTCTTTACCCAGGAAAGGCAGATTGTTCCTGACACATCGAGGGTCAATCTCTGGCTGCTTAAAAGAAGATTTAAAGTATTTTGGTATCTTCTGACAGAATAACTGCAGATACTTTGCTGCAGTTATGTTACAGTTTGTTGTAACATAAACGCAAAGCTCTTGGCTTACTGGTACATCTACATTCTGACCTCCATGAGATAAGGTCATGACCTATAGATGGACAGAAATCCCAAATGCAAGCAGCTATGAGGTAATCAGTGGTAATAGATGGAGTAGCTTAATCAAACCATTTGATTAAAATAACTTGATATTTTAATTTTCTCCTATTCTGAAATAAATAAACTTCATTGAAAGTTATTTTTCATGCATTTATTTTATTACTCTAGCTGAGATTTTTCTTCATTATTGACATGGCGTGTATTCCTTTTTATTTTCTTTGCACTTTTTGAAAATGATTTTGCCGTTACCTTGTTATCTACACCAGACTGAGCTTTATCTTGTATTTTGCTTTCAGGCAGATGAGGTGTAGTTCAAACAGTCTGTCACAGTTTCTATTCATTTTTCTGATGTAGGGTAACAATGTTCTGTCAGAGAATTTGTAAATATTTCTTAAATATTTCTCAGAATGCAAAAGAACTACAGGACCCATAAATGTCAGGAAATACACGTAAAATATGAAATATAAGTAATAGGATAAATGCATTTTCCTCTTAATCATGTTCAAGTAACGTTCACCTTGATTCTTGCTTTTTTTGGGTGTACAGTCTTAGAGGAGCCAGGAGACCCTCCTGCAGTCCATTTACAGATTTTCCCAGCAGAACTGTTATTCTAGGAGATGATTATTTGTGTTCTTGATTTCTCAACTCATCCACAGGTTTTTTCCAGAACAGGTTTGTCTTGCTCACATAACAAAGAGGAAGTGAACATGCTTTTTGATATTGGAAACTCAGAGTTCGCCTTGTCACTAAGCCAGTTATCCTGGTTTAAAAAAAAAAAGGTTTATAAAGATCAACGAGTGATGATGCTGTCACTTTTAAAAAAATCTCGTTGGTATGTGATTGGGGCAGTTTGACAACTGCTTACAACATCCTCATATGAGTCTGAACTTCGAAAATGGACTCCTTACCAAACACAAACATATTTATTTTTATTAGAGTTTGGGTGCACTTTATGCCTCTTCCTCACTTTATCATTAATTACAGTGCTGTAAAAAAGCTTTTGCACATTTTCTTCTGGCTTTGTTCTCATCACAATTAAATGTTTCAGGTGATCAAACTGGTTTCACCTGGTTTTAGAAATAGCTTTGTAACCCTTTCCAGTCTGATATAAAGAGATGACATTATTTTTCATCTCCTCTTGAATTTCTTTAGAGTATGATGAGTTTCTTTTTAAATGGTTTAGCTTGCTATATGTGGTAAGACAGGTGCAAGTTCAGCTTTATTTTTAATGTGGATGATGGCGGTTAACTCGTTGTTACCAAGATGATGGGATCTTTTTTTGTGTAGCAAGATTGGCCGGATTTCTTTTTCTCTTAAGTGAAATCATCATTGGAAGACAGTTTTTGTGTACTTTAGGTTATCTTTGTCCGATCTTAAAATGTTATTCCCCAGAAGAAATTGGGGATAAAATAAGTTTCTGGTTCACAAATATTTATGAGCTGCAAGAAATCAAACAGCTCTGACTCATAAATCATGAGAGAACAAAGATGGACCATTGAACTGAACTGAAGTAACTTTAAGTTCTGATTAGATACCTAAAAACATTTCATTATCAGTTAACACTAAAAGACATTTCTCCTGAAATAACTAATTTAACACCCATAAAAATAAATAGAACTCATTGGTTTCTGACTCACCTGACCGCAGCTTTCTGTTCCACATGTTGTATTCCTGCAAGTTTAATAGATGGATAAAAAAATTAGAGTTGAAATATGTCACAGCTCATCCCACTTAGAACAGATTGAAATAGTTACAAATCTAAAAGAACATTTAATGCTCCGCTAGCTAGAGATGCTTTATGTGCTTTCAAGACAAGAAATTAGACTTACCTTTGTGCCCTTGAATTTCCTGATAGGATGAAATAGAGTTTTTTGTTAGATTTTATACATAAGATAATGTTTACAGATTTGGTTTTGTCAAAGAACTATTTAATGAAAATAAAACATCTTATAATAAAGCATTTTTGGTTAACTGTGTTGCTAGATTATTCTGACTAACCTCTCACAGACATATGGTTTTGCAAAGTGAAAACCATTGGTATGAAAACTCAAACTTAATGTATTCTAATGTTATTGATACTAATCTGCCATGTTGTGATCACCCTGTGAGAAACAATGTCAAACTATTAAAAATATACACAGGTGGACAAAGTTGTTGGTTCCCCCTTTTTAATGACCAGAAAACACACAAGGGTCACCGAAGTAACTTGAAACTGACAAAAGTGATAATAAAAAAAATTGACTGAAAATTGGCCAATGAAAATAAGACATTGCTTTTGTAAAGTGGTTCAATATAACTAATGAAGAAGACCTGGGCAAAATTGATGATTCATCTAAAAAAGAAAACAGAAAATAATATGACCCCAGGGACATGTTAAACTAAGGCATGTCCTCTAATTAGCGTTGGAGGTGTCTCCAAGCTTCTAATTAGTCAGTCTGTGTATCCAAAGTGTAATAAGTAATCACTGTGCAGTTTGGTGACACTGTGTGTGCCACACTGAAGCAAAGGAGAGAGTTCCTCCCAGGAGATTAGAAAGAAACTGATAGACAAACGTGTTGAAGGTAAAGGCTATATGAGCATCTCCAAACAGCTTCATGCTCCTTTGACTACAGTTGTACATATTATCCAGATGTTTAAGGTCCATGGGCCTGGAGCCAACCTCCCTGATGGTGTTGTTGGCTACAGTCAAATTGATTTTAAAGGTGAAAGCCATTCATTGGTTGTTTGAGCCAAAGTGGACTTCAAGAGAGACAATAAAGAAAGACACCACTTTTAAAGAAAATCGTTAAAAAAAGCACGACTGGAAATGGATATTGACGAGCTACAAAGCTTCTGAGAGATTATCCTTCGCATGGATGAGACAAAACTGGAACTTTTTGGCAACGTTCACCAGCTTGACGTTCAGAAATGCTAAAATGAAGCATACGAAGAGAAGAAGACTGTCCCTACTTTGGTGGTAGCCTGGTCAGACCACCCCTTTACTCTGTAAGCGATATTTGAATTGAGAGGAATAGCGCAGGAAAGCAATGGCCAGGCTAGCCTTGAGGCTGCTTTTGAGGATGGGACCATGGGTACTTTGAAATCTCAAGACCATCAAGGGATTCTGGAGAGAAACGTGGTGCCTAAAGCTTGGTCTTATTTGCAGGTCATGGGTTTTCCAACAGGACAATGACGCAAAACACAGCACTAGAAACAGCCAAGAAAGACTAAGAGCAAAATTTTGGACTATTCTGAACCTGCTCCTGTGAACCCTGATCTAAATCCGTCTGGAGAAGGCACACTTCAACCCTGAGACAGCAGATTGACCTCAAGGAGACGACCAAATGACCTGTGGATAGGCGCAGAAGAAAAAAAAGATTGTAGGGCCAAGAAAACATTCTAGGAGAAGATTTTTTTTTAAAACTGAGTCATCTCTCCATCAGGTACGTTATGTGTACAAACATAGACTCACTTCTTGTTATGGTCACATATTTTAGAACACTGTTATCAGAGCAGAAGGATACACAGAACAAGGTGAAACTTAATCAAAAGTTTGATTTTTGAGAAAAAACCTTTTTAATTTCTATTTTATTTTAGTTGTCTTTAGCCCTTTTTTAGACTATTAGATTTCTGTTTGTCACTCTCTAGATATATGAAAGTTCTTAAACAGGACAAATAAGTAAACTAGTCACTTAAGTTTTCTTAAAACTAATTTTAAAAATGAGAGATTTATAAATAAAATAAAGTTTTAGAGAAAAAAATAAATATTGCTTTTTGTGTTTTTGAATATTTCCATTGAAACAACATAGGCTCGAGTTTTGTTTGTTTGTTTTTTTAGTGCAGTCAATAGTTAATTAATTTATTTGTTTTAAATCTGAATAATCTCACTCTAGCGCTGTGATTAATCAAGACTAAATTCATCTTTGTATGTTTAGAAAACCGGTTTATTGTCTCAAATCAAACATGTCTGGTGATTCCGTTTTCCAGGTTTTCATACCCAAGACGTTTCGTTTCAAACGTTAGTTTAGAAATGTTAACTATAAACTGCTTGGTCTTCGGTGGAAAGATAAATTCATCATTGCCAAACACCACCAAAGTACATACCACCTTGGTTTTATCCAAGCTGCCATCGGCTTGTTTTTGCCGCCGAACTCACCAGTGTGACGCTCCTCGCTCAGCTTTTCACTCACGCCTGCAACTCTATTGTTGACCGCAGTATAAGACCGTACAACGTACTTCTCTGAACTGGATAACCCTCCGCGGGAGAGAGGCTTTAGGTCAAAATATGTAACGCAGTCAAGTGTTTTGGACTTTTTAATTTAATTGTATGTGTCAACGTTGACAGCTGCAGGTTTTTATTTATTTATTTATTTTATTGTATCTTCAGGCATCCCAGTGTTTGCAACCTGTCTCAAAGATTCGGTTTGGTCCTATTTATTTATCAAAAGATAATAAAAGTAACAGTATTAGACATCAAATTGGATCTTAGCACCAATAGATTCCCAAAAAGCTGTGAGCTTAAAAAAAAGGAAAAGAAAAGAAAAAATCTCATACAAGAAATAAACATTGGATTATGTTTCTCTAATGTTCTGCCACAGGTCTTTGCAGGATACTTCTTAAAGGTATGACTTTCAGATACTGTTTGCTGTGGGGTAGATTTTTTTTTTTTAAATCTGACACTTCTTTATTTAACCTTCATTCATTCACTTTCATCTAGTTTTTATTTCCTTTCTTTTTTTTTAGCAGACTCAACAAAATAAGCAGTTGTGGTCAGAGAGAACAACTAGAGGACAGGTGAACCAAGAAGCAGCCAAACTCAAAAGAAAAACATGTAACCCTCCCACGGTCTTAAGAGACGAGGCCAAATGAGCTTTTTAACATGTACGCGATCTGGTGGGATGGTACTGACCCTGTGTGCGCTTCTAGTTTTTTTTTTTTTGGTCTGGTTTCGGGAACCATTGATCAGAACCATCTCTGATGGAAACTTTTGTGCAACACTATATCTTTTACTAATGATGGAATTTATTTTTACAAAAACAACATACTGTGTTAGAATGAGTCATTAGATTGTTTTGAGCTTTAAATATAATCTGAAGAACAAATCATGACAGATTTTTTTTTTATGTCTGTGAAGTTTGATTGACTGTGTTTTGCTTGAAGACAAACCACCTGCTCTTACCAGTTGTGGCTCCAACGAGGTAAACCAGCAGGAATAGGTAGCGTGATTTCATAATGTGACCGGTCTCATGGGATCAGAGGGCTTTGTGTTGAAAATCACTAGAGAGGGAACAAGAAAGAGCTGGTCACAATGAGTCACTATTCTCTGAAAAGCAATTGTTGATTTACAGGGTTAGAAACCGGCCTTTGGCTATTAAAACATGCACTATTTATTTTTCTTTACTAAACTCAACAAATCACAATACAATTACATTTTCTCGCAGAGGTGTAACACCTCTTGAAATTATGTATTTCAAAGCCTGATAAATGACAGCAGGGCTGAAGGCTTTGTCCATCCATTGTCGCCGTCCTTTCACCTTAATGCCTGTGTTTTTCTTGTGAGCAGTAGTCGGGGAGTGGCAATCAGATATTTTACAGTCAATGTGGCATAAAGAGGCCTTTAACACCACAACAAACACATCCAAAGACAATAATAGATCTATGGAAAGAATGCTGAAACTGTACACCATTCAGCCCTCTGACAATGGGTGTTGGGACATCTCATAGATCTTTGTAAAAATGTTTTATGTTCATTATCTCTCTTGGTTCTCTGTCTGTCAGAAAAAGATAAAAACTATGTGAGTTATTTCGAAGGCAAGCAGTGGCGTAATGGGGCGAGCAGTAAAATGTACGTAAAATTTTAAATGTTATTTAATTTCCTGGTTTTATGAAGTGATTAACCCATGGACACAAAAGTTCTGTCATTGTAGCATGAACAACAAGGTTCTTCACCAAAATTGTGTTTAGTATGTTTTATATATAGATCATGCTTTGCAGTACAATAACATATCAGCTATCAATAGTCTGTCAATCGTGCTAAACAATGCATTAGTTATAAACATATATTTATTAATCATGTTCAACTATTTACTTTTTCTGCTCTTCTAGATTAAAATAAAAAAATAAAAAAATAAACCCAATTTGACAAGGAAAAATCAGATGGAATTAACCTCAGTTATATATTTGATATCTTTATGG